CTGCGATGTTGACAAAAAGTTGAGCATTGGTGGTGACTGTGGGATATTTTATGTGAAAGAATATTTAAAATAAAGTTTATATCTTTCATGTGTCCCAGTCGAGGTCAACGACAATAAATGAGTCATTGTGTCTCAGACCACTCCCTCATCACTGCAGCTCTATGGCTGCTTCTCTGTAAATCAGGAAGTGCAGCCCATCATTTCAAGAACATACCAGCACTCCAGTTTTGTTCATCTTCCAGAAAGAATGCAGTGAAAATAGGAACACTGAACGGCTGTCATACTTGGTTATAATTGTTATCTAATATAATACCTTGAGAGACATTGATGACAAGCAAAAAAAGTACGCATTTGGCTATTTCCTGTTTCAGCTGCCAATTTGAAATGAAGTAAGGAGAGCTCTGTTACTGATTAAGAGGATACTCTACGTTACACTTTTAATCATGCATATTTACTCATTACTACTTCCTTTTAAAGGAAATATATACAAGTTGTCATGCACACATCTTGCACTGTCACCCAGGAAATCGTATATTCTTTCACATCACCAAATATATTAAGGACTTCTGACTACTCAAGATCACTCTGGCCCTAACGTCCTGGTGCCTTTTGTATGCTTTTACTTGTACTTCAGTGCTCTTGTTAGATTAGCTGAAAATTAACAACTAAAGAATACAGTTTTATTTAAATTTATATTTCTTTTAGTTTATGCCTACCTCTGCCACCACCCCATATGGATAGCCAAATGAGAATTCCAAATGAAAAGCTTTGATGAGTAGGAAGAGGAGTTTGAAATTTTGCTGGAGGATTCCGTAAACTGTGGATATCTGAGAGTTCCTTCAGGTCTCCGAGTACTGAAAGTCCTGCTTGAACTAGAGATTTTTTTCCAAACCTTTCCACAGGTCCCAACATTATTTCTAGTGGTAGGCTTACAGATAATGCTTTAGGCAAAACCCAGGGGTTAAAGTGTTAAAAAGAACTGTACATGCTTGAGGCTTGTTAACATGAAATTTTTCAAACAATTGCTTTATGAAGTTAGAATCTTTGCTGAAGAAGCCTTTAGAAATCTTTATACACCATTGAAATCTCCTGGTGAAAGCACAAGTAGAGCTTTTGTGACTCAGAAACAGTCACATTAACATTTATCAGCGGCAGGCAAAAAATAGGGGAGATTGGTAAAAATGCAGAACAGCACAGCTGGGAATGCCATCTAATAGCTGAAGATGAAATCTAGAAATAGTGCTGAGTGTATCCTGGTGAGTGAGTGATGAGTGGGGCAACAGCCTTTTTCGCATTTGTAAAAATTGCTTCTTGGATGAATGCCTTTGAATTATGAAATAAATTATATCTTCAATTTATAGTTCCTCGAAGTTGTCCTAAGTAAGTGTTCAGCACACCCAGTTAAGTCAAATCTAAATAAACTTTTTGTCTAAGCAGAAAAAAACCACTCAATTCCCTTTCATTAAAGGATACCAGCAGGAGGATACTGACAATAGCTAAAACAACCTTCCCTAAACCCTTCAATCTGTGAAGTCTTGGATAGTTAAAAGAGTTGCAATTCATTACATATGTGAAATGTTAACGTAGGATTTTGCCACAAAAAATGTGGAGTGGACTAGATTGGACTGGGTGCTATTTACATGAGTAGATATTATACATATAGACATATATTTGCCTGTCAAGGGCAGATCACTGTAAAATCTTAATGGACTGTAAATAAACAGACCTTTTCTTCTTGTATTAGTAAGGCATGAGATGAGATGCTGGATACTATGTGGGGATGAAAAGGCACTTGGTGTCATGACATGTCATCTATCCTGCAAGACACTCATTACCAGTCTTACTTAGGTGGACAAACCACCTTGATCAGGAAAAGGAGTATGTATAAATTATACATGTTTGATAAGTAACTTTCCACATACTTCTCCTCCTCAGAGTATGTGAGAAAATGGGTTTGAAGAAAGAAAATTAGTTTTATTTTCCATGTTCATTCAGCCTAAACTTTCTTTGCTACTCACGATGCCAGCAATACTGCTAATTACTGCCATGACAAGCACAATAAAGCAAAATACTTCTACGCACTAAGCCTAAAGAGGCAACTAGTTGCAGACCCACACAGTACTCCTGGTATCCATTTAAACTTTTCTTTCAGCCTACACTTTGTTGAGAGTTTTAATGTAAGCCCTCCTACAGTAACCCCTCTCAGTTGCTGTATCAGTGCCACTGTGGTCTTCCATGATTATTTTCAGTGGCATTCATTTACACACCATAGGAACAGTCAGCAAACACTAATCAGATATGCCTCACTGGAACTGAGTGTGCCAGGAAAAATTAACATCCTCATTTCGTACTGGAGGAGCAGAGTGGCTCCCACACAGCAGAGACAATGCAGACCCAAGAGGCTCTCCTCACTCACGCTTCTGACCTCGTTGTTCTGCCCCACCTCCCCTCTTCCTGACTGTAAGAAAGCATTGGAAATTCAGAATTTACCACAGATTTCCTCTGGTTTTCTCTCTCAATTGTTGATTTCTGAATTATTTACAAAGGCACTTTTGAAAATAATCATTTGCAATTTGGCATTCTGTGAAGATGTTTCCAAAAAGCCAATTCCTCTCTGTTTCAGCCTGTAGCCTGGGACGGCATAGCTGCGCTCCTAAATGACTCTCCCTGCCCTAAGGGTCTTTATATCAACAACTTTGCCTAGTTATGTCTTATATAAAACAAAAATTGCTTCCTGACATCTGCCCAGCTGCTATTTTTTTTCTCTCTTTCCTCCCTTATACTGTGCCGTCGTCTGTCTTACCATTTGAGAGTACGTAATTTAAAATTATTGGGAAAAGCATGGAAAACATCCATAGTACAAATTCCAGAGGCAAATTACTCATCTGACTCAGAACTACACTTTTAAAACACAACTGCTTAGAATTTAAAACAAATAAAAATAAAGCATCTACATGAAATTACTTTCCCATTGGTACTGAGAGAGGTGAATCTAAAGATAGGTTCCATATTGATTCACACCTTTCAACAATCCTTTTTCTGAACAATTTGTTTTTAGGTCTTTTACCTGATCATACCTGGTCTTTACTGACATTTGTCTCAAACAATTCAAAGGAGAATTCAAAGAAAAGTTTTCAATCTGAGAAAATCACTGAGGAAAAAAAAGCAAGAACTTTATTATAGTAAGGTCTCTCGTCGCAACTGTTAAAATATTTAAGTAACCTATGTATTTTAGTGAAAAGTACTAGGACAAGTGAAACCAGATAATAAACCTGACAGAATATTGCTAAAAGAAAAAAATGGTCTTGTTGCATTTTGGGAAAGCAATCTCTAAGTTGAAAAAATCACTTCTAAATACATGCTCAACTTGAAATACTTTCCACAAAGCCCCAGTGAAATTCCATTCTTAATATTATAGCCTTAATATATCCATGACATAGTGTGCAACTCAAAGATTGTACAATACAGCTGAGATAGTGCTAGATTTTGGAATTTGAATATTTTTAATTCTGGGAGGTTTTCCCTTCAAATTTAGAACTGTATGAGAATAAGTCTGGCTTTTAATTATTTGCAAACAGAATTACCATTTAAAATGTGTTTACTAGTGGAAAGGAATATAAACTGCCATACACTCTGGGTAAATGTGTCTTCCCGGAAAATGCAATTCCAGGGTTAACTCCAGTTATGAAAAGCCAGTGAACTTCAATGAAAACTTTTTAAAAGAGCTAAAAACTATTTTGGGCTTGGAGTGATTTGTTCTGCTTTGGTAATGCCTAGCTACTCTAAAGCTGGTTTGGGGAGCAACCATCCTCAGCCAGGATGCATAGTCCCATAGGTCACTAAAGCATCCTCTCCTGGCTAGGACATTTTTCTATGGCAATCTCCAGCAATCTGAAGTGACATAGCAACTTTTCAGGTGGCACTTGCTTGAACTCACTTTATCAAAAGTCTAGAGGGAAATGAGCAGGTGAGAAAATGGCTGTAGGGCATTCTTGTCATGCCTGCTGGGCTGTGCTTAACCATTTCTTAGCAAAGCCACAGGAGTACCAAAATATTTAGATAACACAAATAAATGCTTGCAGCTTATGAGCAGCTGTAGATGGACTTCCACTGAAGTTCAGAGGAATCAGTGCAACAAAGGATTGATCCTTTTTGTGATTTTCTTCCTTTTCTTATACATAGGAAATCTGACTATCTGAACTTACTACTTTAACTACTAGTCTTCTGAGGAAGAATGCACAAGAAGTTCTACCTGAATATGAGGAAGAACTTCTTTAGTGTGTGGGTGACTGCTCATGGGACCACATTGCCAGAGACGTCGTGCAGTCTGCCTCAATAGAGGTATTAAAGAACTGCCTGGATGCAATTCTGTGCCATGTGCTCTAGATTGACCCTGCTTCAGCAGGGAGGTTGGAGTCGATGATGACCCACTGTTGTCCCTTGCAACATAACCCATTCTGCGAATCTGTGCGGGAACAGAGAGGAGACTTCTGTGCAGGGCCAAAGGGTATTGATAATTAGAACAAATTCCCAGATGACATACTTAAAGGCTGTCATAACTGCAAGGAAGATTTTATTAAGGATAGAAACTAGAAAAAACCCAAACAAACAAGCCAACAACAAACCATAAAAATTATTCCTCTAATTTTGGTGAGAGTAATTTTCAAACAACATTTTTACTGCAAAAGAATTGTTTCCATCTCACTAACTCTTAAAAGAGATATGTGTTGATCATGGGGATGGTATCATAGGCAACTTGCTTTCTCATACTTTATAAGGATTAATGAGGCAAAACATATACTGAGGGGAAGAAACAACCATTTCAAATCAGTCCTTGCAATGTGGAGGTGCTAAACAGAAGTATTTTTTTCTACACAGTACATTCTCAGATGAGAAAGAGGTTGAATTAAGTAGGATAAATGAGCAATAGCACGAGAATATTCTCAACTTTATTTTACTTCTTTAGAGCTCAGTCTTTTTTAAAATTAAAGCTGACTGACCTTGCAGGACAAGGATCCAGATTACACTCTTGAAGTTTTGGCTTTGGCTTGATATTTTCAGGATAATAGTGGCAGTATTGATCTGCTACTACCCGGTTGCTTCTCAGATCAAAACACTCAGCAGATGTCAGTTGATAACCTGCAATACACAGTGGAATAAGTAATATGAGATAGGATACTCTTCCTGTCTATCTGTGAAATGCGTCTAAGTATGGTCAAACAAAAATTCAGAAGCCTAGAACAAAAAGGGAAAAAACAAAGGCTGAGGTTTCTTGATTGCTAAGACTCATGCCCTCAGTTTCAGCATAGAGGATAAACCTGCTGCTATGGGTAGGGACAAATGTGAGACATCTTGTAGTTCCAAAGCAGGCCCAAATCCCATCAGCCTTTTTGTCTGACAGCTGTAGCATTAAAGGCAGACATACGGATATCAAAACGTACTTTATCAACAGACTCTGGCATGATGCTAAAAAACTACAAGCTACTACTGCATTGCTAAATCCCTTCCTTCATTTAGTTGTAACTACTTTCATTTTCAGATTTTGTCCATTTTAAAGGTCCAAAACTCCCAGCAGCATTTGGGACAGGTCCTGTATGCAAACGACTGTTTCTCAAATACAGTGGTAATTCATTACCTCCTCCACAGGATGCTGAACAAGGGAAAAAATCAGTTTCCCTCCATCGGTGAATGATAGGCTGATAGAAGATGAACTGAACTGAACTGTCAGAAGCACCAGCATAACGGATCTAAAAAAGAGGTAACATTGAAGATTGAACCTGACATGAATACTGGGAAGAACTATTCTGCCACTTGCATCTCACAGATTTGAGGCACCTCAGTGTTACATGAAATACCAGAGATACTTTGCGATAAGAAAATGAAATACACAAACCAAAGCACAGATTGGTGGCAAAATCTTGGTTGCAAAACACAGTCAAATTAACTTTGGGCATAATCAGTGACCATTCTGAAATAATGAATGCATGGTAAATGCATGGTTAGTGCTACTGAATTATTTTATGGGGACAGAGAACATGGAGTAATCCTTACTTCAACAGTAAATCACCTATCACTACCGACTGTCCCTTGCACATGGACATGGGTTTTAGATCTTTAATATTTCCCCAAAAAACTTCTAATACCAGGTATAATATATTAGATAGTACAGAGTGAAAAATGGGAAGCTGTGCTGTGAAAAACATATAAATAGGATAAAATTTTAATTTATTATTCTTTTGTTTTTGAGGTGAGATCTTTCTTTCATTCTTCTTTTGTATCATAAGTCTGTCCTCCTTCTTTCTTCATTTTGCTTGTAAAAATGCTCCTTTCAGTCATAAGCATGGACTTTTGAGTGGACCTGAGTGCATGCTGTTTAGAGCCTACAAGTACTGCCAACTTTTAAGACACCTGAGGTTAAAAAGCTAGTATGCTCCCACTATTTTGTGTACTGAATGGATTTCCAACATAAACAAGAGTTTTGAGTTCAAGGAGTCCAATAAGAAGAGAGCTTCTTACGGCTAAAGCAACACCACTTCCACCTGGCCCAGAACAAAATCCTTCACGATTGATGTCTGTGCTGATTAATCCAGTTATGAGGACTTCAAAATCTATGCTGGGAACCCCTTGTCCTTGCCTCTAAGCCTTTGCATGAACAGCTTGTAAGAGAAGAACAAAAATGTTGCTACTAACACCCTCTCCAGATTGATTATTTGTCCCAGGGCATAGAGTATCGATGTTGCTTGGGCATTTCCACATTAGTGGCATGATGCTATCACAGTAGAGAAAACTACCAAATCACAACCAGAAAAGATGGATCCTTCTCCAAGTTAGTACTGCTGCTTTCAGGAGCAATCCTCCCTGCTCTCTTTTCAGACAGCCTAAAGTATTTCACCACTACCTCCTGGTTTTTTTGCCCTCATGTTTCAACCAAGTTTCTCAGTTTTAGAAACACTGCTTTTCCAGCCTGCCTTTCCTTTTGTTTCTTTCCAAACACCAAGAAGCACTGTCAAAGAGTAGTCTATGAAACAGAAGCAAAAATATGACAAATTGAGATTAACTGTGTAATTTGGGTTGTTTGTTTTGTTATCCCCTGAAGATGGGCAGAAACATGATTACAAATCGACGTGTATCTTGAAGAGAAGGAGTGGAGCAAAATGTGGAGATCTGGTCCACTGAGACTAAGGCGGCACTTTTCTAATTAAACAGTGATGTAAATTCCCAAAAGGAAAAAACCCAGCTGTAGCAATACAACTGCTTCAGCAAATGGGATTCTTTCTGCACAGATTAATGTTGTTTGAGTCTGTGTGTCAGAAACAGTACATCTAATTCCTTGTGTGGGATAGTGCATTAATTACACACTTTGGAAGGGTCTTTCTGTGCTCATGAAAGCCTCAATCACTCCTGGGAAAAATGTTCTGTTGTGCTGGAAGCCAGTTGGAGAGGTCTCTGATCTGAATGTGCAGAAAAGGCATTCACTGAGGAGAATTCTGCTCCTACTCAGTTTTTTAAGGATCATCAGTGATTTTTAAACTCAGATGATCTACTCAGCAGTATAGCCTGTAGTGAATCATGAAGAACAGATCAAGAGCTCACACTGAGCCTACTATATGATGAAGGGGAGGAAAAAATGAGTTCACATAAAAAAAATAAATCAGGAAGACAGAATAGTTCCTCTCTCTCTGCAGACTATTCCTGTGTGTCTGCAGATTATCTGTCTGTTTTCACACAGAGAAAAGACAGATGTACATCTCTGCCATCCTAATGTGGAGGTCACTCATACAATCATTATCACAATACAGGTGGGAAAGAATTACAATGAGCCACAGCCATAAGCTAAAATCATTCAAAACAAGCAACTGAAAGAAGTAGATACATAACAGTTTATTTTTAAGGAGTACTGTAAGCAGAACAGGAACAATAGATGGTGATTCCACAGAGAAAGATTGATTTGATTTTGTTTGACAGTTTGTTAAAGCTAAGATCTTTATCCAAGAGAAAACACTAGTGGCTACTTGAGTCCTGCAAAACTCAGAGCAAGACTTGATAGCTAAATGCTGTGGGAAATGTCTTGGAGTGGCTGCACAGGGCCAACTTCCACACATTGAAATAGTCAGCTCTGTAGTATGGTGAAACTTTTTACCCTTTCAGTATTTGCAACATCCTGATAGCTATGAGAAATGCTAAAGCTTCCAAAGCTGGTCATCACTTGACAATCTTTTAGTTAGCCCTCTAACTAACAGTGAGTTTTGCATCCTTTGGTAACTGAACTGGAAAAAATGGCAATTGATCATTATATTTGCAAATAAAATTCTGTCAAAATTACTAATAGCAGAAGGAAAAAAGAAAAAAGAGATCTTGATGAGCTCTTAGCACTGCATTTGTGCATTGCAGCTCCCTAGAGATCATCCTCGACTTCCTTTATATTTCAGGGGAATTTGGATAACCTAACATCAGAGCAGCCCTTACCACTTTGTAAGACCCAAGACCATATCAACATACAGAGTCCTCAAAATATCTAGTCAAGCCTACAGTCATGGGCAACAGAGGTATATTTTTTCCTTAGAAAGACCTTGGGAAAAAAAATCACTCGTACCCTGTATTTTTAAATTGATTTTGCAAATGACTGCCTGGTATGGTGCAATAGAGGCACAAGATGTTGCTTAGGTGAAGTTTGGAGCTGGTAAAATGCAGCATTGGGTTGGGAAATATCCACAGAATGAAAACAACGTAATCAAAATTGAGCACGAAAGGAGTGTAATCTTTTTGAATTATTCTGATCTGTCCTGTGACCTGTGACTGCAACATCTGCCTTCATCTTTGTATTTTGTTGTTTTTCCTATAGCTCCAAAATTCGATTCACATAAAAACAAACAAGGGAAGTTCCACAAAGCCCAACCCTTGCTTGCTTGATTTTGGCAGCATATGACTGAACAGTTTGTTTCTGTTCACCGAAGAACATGCAGCCTGGTCTACAAAACTTCACTAAGTTTACTTGGCCAGTTATGAAATTTAGTCAGCAGTTTATAATCAGCAGTCATGTCCAAGTAATTATTAGTGTTATTTGTACAGTTAAGCCACAAAAAGGGTATTCCATAAGATGTTCTCATTTTGTGGAACCATGTGTGTTGGGGGAGGAGGAAAGACATCATTTCTTTCGTGTTTTTGTGTGTGTGTCCCAAGCTGGGGACAGAGAAAGGGAATTATTATTTCATACCATTGAATCACCGAATCATAGAATCATTAAGGCTGCAAAAGATGTCCAAGTTCATTGAGTCCAACCTTTGACCAAACACCTCCATGTCAACTAAGTGCTACATCCAGTCATTTCTTGAACACTTCGAGGGATGATGACTCCATCACCTCCCTGGGCAGCCTGTTCCAATGTCTGGCCACTCTCTCAGTGAAGGGGATCTGGTGCAGCTTGAGGCCATTTCCTCTTGTCCTGTCATGAGTTCTGTCATCTGAACTCATTCTATGACAAAATGACCAACATAGAAGATGATGGGAAGACTGTAGATATGGTCTATCTGAACTTCAGTAAAGCATTTGACACTGCCTCCCACAGCACACTTCTAGAAAAACTGGCTGCTCATGGCTTTGATGGGTGGATTCTTTGATAGGTAAAAAACTGGCTGGAATGCTGGGCCCAGCAACTTGTGGCGAATAGAGTTAAATCCAATTGGCAGCAGGTGTCTCATGGTGTTCCCCACGGCTCAATATTGGAGCCAGTCCTGTTTAACATCTGGACATGAGGATTGAGTGCCCCCTCAGTAAATTTGCAGACGACACAAAGTTGGGTGAGAGTGTTGATCTGCTTGAGGGTAAGAAAGATCTACGGTAAGACCTGGATCAACTTGATCAATGGGCTGAGGACAACTGCATGAGATTCAATAAGGCTCAGTGCTGGTCCTGCAGATGGGACACAACAACCCCATGCAGCGCTACAGGCTGAGGGAGGAGTGGTTCAAGAGTTGTTCATCAGAAAGGGACTTTGGAGTGCTGGTGGACAGTGGCTCAACATGAGCTAACATTGTGCACAGGTGGCCAAGAAGCCCAATGCTATATTGGCCTATATCAAGAATAATGTGACCAGCAGGACTAGGGAAGTGATCATCCCCCTGTACTTGGCATTGGTGAGGTCATACCTTTAGTACTGTGCTCAGTTTTGGGGCCTTCACTTTACAAAGGGCATTGAGACACTGGAGCGAGTCCAGCAAAGGGCAATGAGGCTCATAAAAGGCTTAGAAACATGTTGTATGAGGAACAGCTGAGGAAATTTGGTTTGTTTAGCCTTGAGAAGAGGCAGCACAGGGGTGGCCTCATGGCTCTCTCCAACTACGTGACAGGGGTTTGTAGAGAGGTGGGGGATGGTCTCTTCTGCTATGCCTGCAGTGAGAGGACTAGAGGGAGTGGTGATAAGCTGAGACAGGAGAGAGTCAGATTAGATGTTAGGAAAAAATTTTCACTGTTAACGTGTTCAGGCACAGGAATAGGTTGCCCAGGGAAGCGGTGGAGTCACAATTCCTGGAAGTGTTAAAGAGGTGCCTGGACCTGAGACTGGAAGATATGGTTTAGGGTATAGGGGTCACAGTGGAGTGCCAAGTTAACAGTTGGACTTGATCATCTTAAAGGTCTCTTCCAACCTTGATGATTCTATGATTCTCTGAGTTGCCTGGAAAAACAGATAGACTCCCATCTTGCTACAAACTCCTTTTTGGTAGATGTAGAGAGCTATAATGTCTCTCCT